AATATATATATATATATATAGTTATATCTATATGTATATACCTATCTATCTATCTATCTATCTATCTATATCTATCTATATCTATCTATATCTATCTATATCTATCTATATCTATCTATATCTATCTATATCTATATCTATATCTCTATCTATATCTCTATCTATATCTCTATCTATATCTCTATCTATCTATCTATCTATCTATCTATCTATCTATCTATCTATCTGTGTATCTATCTGTCTATCTATCTATCTATCTATCTATTTATCTATCTATCTATCTATCTATCTATCTATCTATCTATCTATCTATCTTGTTGTTGATTGCTTGCTTGGTTGGTTGATTGATCGATCGACCGGTGGATGAATTGTTTGTCTGCTTGCTTGTTTGCTTGGTTGATTGATCGATTGCCATGCTGGCGACATTGCCACTGTTGCTTCGGCCTTCGTTTCACTTGGATGGTGCGGTGTACCTATGTGCAGGAGCTGCAGGGCATTGACGTGGTGCCGCACTGAGCGTATCGGAGCCAGCTTCTGCTCTTCTGCTCTGCTCACTGTTCCGAGGAGAAGATCCCTTCGATGCACGAGTTGCCTGTGCAGTCTGCCATCGTCAGCCCGAAGCCTGGCAGTACCACGGAGCTCGACGACCTGGAGGCCTTGCACTGAGATGCACTGAGCTCCGCAAGCAGAGCTTCCCCTTGCCCATAGCTGTCCTCCACCCCGCTCCTCAGTTCGGCAGTCGGAATCCCAAGACCGTCAGGTGCAAGTGGCGGTCTGCAACTAATCGCTGCCTACTCTGATACGACATCCAGACCTCGAGCTGCCAATACCGGAAGACATCCACAATTCTCTCACACATCACAGAAGTCATCAATGTAAGGGCTCGAGCCAAGTCGGAGAACCAAGACTAGGACTAGTTCGAGCTTTTCAAGACACTCTCATATGAGCTCGCTCGCTCTCTCTCTCTCTCTCTCTGAGTGTTGAGGTCAAGGGCTTCGCTTGGAGCGGTGGAGGTCGCGGCATCGTGCGTGTGGACGTGTCAATCGACGAGGGCAAGACCTGGATCACAGCGGAGCTTTCTGATGGCAAGGCCGCGCTTCTGGCGAGTCAAAAGGGTCCCATGACCCTCAAAGCCTGGTAGGACCAATGCTATAATCGTGCATGGGCCTGGACCTTCTGGGAGGCTTCAGCCAGAATCTTGGAAAGACGGACAAGTGTCCGTTTCGGTTTTGCCGCTCCGACCTTTGCCTTGTGTCCAGGTTCCCGTTCCTGCGGAGCTGCAGGGCAAGGAATTCACGGTCCTCTGCCGTGCTGTAGATTCTGCCTACAGCTGCTGGTCCCAAAGATCATGCGCAGAAGGTACAGGCAGTCTGGGCATGTTGACGGTCCGAGGTACACAGCCAGAGCGGCCAGAACCTCTGTGGTGGCTTTTCTGCAAAGAAGATCCAAGACCTGCAGTGACTTCCGAACACGACCTCGGTTCCCAGTCCGGCTCAGTCCCAGGAATCTGCGTGGCTTGAACTGCAACTGCTGGCATAGAGTGCCGATCCGACACCAGGAGTAAGCCGTGAGTTTGAAGTCATTTGAAGGGCGGTGCCCTGAAGAGCAGGGCCCGCAGGGCATGGGTGCCTCTGATAATATTTGTGGATCTAGTCTTTCTTTGAGCTCTCCCGCATCGGACTGCGGAGCCGATCTGCGGAGCAGGTTAATGCAATCGAGCCTCGGTTTCTGACAGCCTTTCTTGAGCTGTGGCCCCTGGACTGGAATCCCGGGCTCTCCTGGGCCCTGGGCTCTCCATCACCGGCAAGGGTCGGTAATGTACAGTTGGACGCTGCCCAGTCTTCCCAGACCCCCCGAGACTTGAAGCCGAGAGCATCAGAACACGGCAGCGCAACTTCGGACTGACCGCAGCATGTCCCACTCGGCCTGTTGGGAGCACTGGCCCGAAGCAAGTGGCACAAGTGGCAACGTTGGATTCCCACAAACGCAGTTCTTGAGATTCTGAAGCTCATACCCGCAGCAAGCCTGAAACCAATTCAAGGTCTTTTTCAGAATCGGGCTTGATGTCGTGGGCACCCACGCCTGTTTACAGCCTGGATGCTGTTTGCTCGCTGTCTTGCTGAACTCCCGAGCGGCTAATCTGCACAGATCTGCAGCGACAGGCATGCAGCCGACTCAGATTCGGATCTGCTAGCTTGTGCAAGTCAAGGCGAGAGCTGCAAAGTATGCCCCGGCCGCAGTTTGCGCTGCCGCGGCCGTGGTTGCAGCTGGGCTGGAGGAGGCCCTGAACGAGGTCCAGCTGCCGTTCCCGGAACGGCGCTGCGGCTCGTCTCCGCAGGAGGCTTCGCGGCGTGCAGTCCTCAGCATCCCAGCCCGACCCAGCCCAAGCCCCAGCCTCGGACCTGTCCAGCCAACCCATCGCCGAGGATTGCAAGCACAACCCGGCGGCGAGCGGCGCTGCGACATTGCCGAACCGCTTGCAAAGGCCAGAAAAGTTGCGAAGACCATCCTCGAGACTTTCGGATGCTCCTGGCCTCAGGAGATGCGACTTCGGACGTGCGAGTGGTGACTTACAATGTGCTGTCGCCGACACTCTGCTCCGCAAGGCGATTCCCACACTGCAAAGAACAGGAGCTGGCACTTCCGGATGCTCTGCTAGTTTGGTCTTCAGAACTCCAGTCACGGACCAAGTTACTTCTACACGGGAGCCCGACTTGAGCATCTTGAGTCAAGTGTCCTGAGCCACGTGCAATGGGGGCAGCTGCAAAGACGGCTTCTGAAGACAATGACATACGCCCAAATCGTGCAGGACCTCTTGGAATCCGTCAGACTCTTGGAGGCACCTTGTGAGAACTTCGGTGTCGGAGCTCTACCCCATCCGGTCGTCGAGGATGGCCGCGGCTGGTTACGCAGAAGTGGCCTCGGAATTGGTTCGGTCATAGGCCATATATGCATAGGCATCTGATATCCGCATGTCCAATCTGCTGCCGCAAGCTCTACGCCTAAGCTTTTGAGGCTGGATGCCGCACTAGCAGAGACGACTCCAACAGCCTCTCGATGCAGACCAGTACAAAGCTACAAGTGCATCTGCAGCAGAAGCGACATCTCAGGTCTTTTGCTTGCAAGAGGTGGACGAGCTTTGGGCCAGCAAGCTGCACGCGCACTTCCAGCGACGGGGCTGGCACTTTGCCCCTCGTCAACATCCGACAGAGTCGGGTTCCATCAAAAGCGTCACGACACGTCAAGCCAAGGCATATGCCATGACACCATTGACGCAACTTGATGAATCCTATGAGACCCTCCACCCTTGCCAGTGAACTCTGAATCCTATCTTTCAGACATTGATCACGTCATGTGCATGGAAGCTCAAGACAATTGAAGGTATTTTCCACCAATTGGGGTGGCTTTGGCCTTCCCAGGGGATCTCGAGCTGGAGGAAAGTGGGCAGTGCTGTGGCCTTGAGATGCTCACACCTGGTGGTGTGCCAGGAACTGCTGATGGTTCGGCCTGCAGCACAGCTGTTGCCGGGCAGCAATAGGACATGTGAATGGCGAGCACTGCAGGCACCATAGTGCTGCAGGAAACTAGCACCACCGCGCTCCCCCAGTACACGCTGGCAGCGGTTCAAGGCTTGCGTTGATTTCAGTTGTATTCCTCGTGGACATCGCCAGTACAACGCCTAACCGGAGCCGTGCAGGACTGGATCCTTGACCACACGGTGCGGAACCACACAGACTCAGACGAGGTGCAGTGGACAGGGCAGAGGGGGCTTCACAGGGCTGCAGCTGATCCCGTCAGGGTGCGGCCTGGACACTCGCAGCTCGGAAACAGCCGCTTGGCTGCGCCGAAAGCCTGCTACCGCTACCTTGTCACTTTGACCAAATGCCGAACCGCGAGCGAATCATGACGCAACCAGAGCGCCAAGTATTTTCATGGAGAGGACCGACGCTGAGCATTACGATTAGATGCTAGAGAACAGCATGAGTCTGGTCTGTGCTGGCTGCTGGCGAGCAGATTCGAGTTAGATTACTTCTGGTTGAGCAGCTGGGAATCCATTTTTCATTGTTTTGGGCAGCTTAGCTGGACATCGCTGCGCAGCCTGGACTTATCTGGTCCTTTGTGAGGAACCGGCTGCTGGCAGCCAAGCTGAAGGCCAGAACAGAGCGAGAGCGGAGCTCTTGCAAGGCTGTGATGCGAAAGGTGAAGTCCGGATCCAGTTTCGTCGTTGCCACGTACCACATGCCATGCTTATTCGACGAACCTCTGCAAAGGCTGGGGCATCTGTGGGGCATCTGTGGCTGTGCTGTTGCAGATGCTTGCAGTTCCTGTCCAGGCAAGCAAAGGCCATCCATGCTGCGCTCTTGCGCGAGGCCCTGATGCTGCACTTCCCGGAGGCGGGAAGCGCAGAGTGGCTGCCAGCAGTGAGAGCCGAGAGCCGTTGCGATCTCCAGTCACTCCAGTCGTCTCGAGGAGCAGTCGCTGGTCTTGGCCGGAGACTTCAACACAAAGCCTGAGGACCGGACAGCGTGCAGCGCTTCCAAGAGTCTCTCGACAGCTCCAGGACTCAGAACTTCAAGTTCTGACGGAAGGAGCGCTTTCGGAGTCGGATGTGCCTTAGCGCGAGCAGGTCGCTTTAAGCCCAAGCCGCCCAAGCCCAAGCCGAGAGATGAGGTGGCATGGCCAACGGCGCTGACCGACCAGGGCCTTGACTTTGCACAATGGGAGGTGCTGTTCGGATTGTTCGGCAATGCGGCAGCACATTTGACATGAGAATGGAAAGTATGGAGAGGCTGGGTCTCTGCAGCTGCGCAGCGCCTACGCGCAGCAGGGCGGCGAGCTGGTGCCTGCAACAGAGGGTTGCGTGGCGGATGCGGAAGTGAGTCCTGTGCCCCCCAGGAGTACACCAACTACGCCTGGATTGAGGAGAGTCGAGTCCTCGGGGGCGCATGGAAATGGTCGCCAAAACGAACATTTCTTTCTATCCGACTACACCATTTTAGTGGGATTCTTCGTGAAGTGGTGCCCTACCGTTGGCTGAACATCAGAGGAGATACCGCAAGCTGACAAAGCTGAGCCTACAACAAGTCATGGATGTGGGGAGTTTCTAAGGGTATTCGTTCGTCCGTTTGCCATTCAGCTGTCATCACGCGGGATCTGATTGATCATGAGGTGTGCTGAGGGCACGGACGGGGGGCGGGGTTGAGAAAACTTCCGAGAAACGCTCCAGTGTGCATCCGCCATCCGGTCCAGTGTGCATCCAACGGCCTCATGTGCTGTAAGGGTTGCTCGAACGGACGTCGGTTTTAGGGTTCAGTCCACGGTCGGCCGCGCATCGGGTTCGATTCCGGTGATTCGACGATCCATGGGGTCACACCACTGACTGGTGTTACGGTCGTGGGGTCCCCGTACACGTGACAACACACGAATGTTCGAGTCGGGTCAGTCCACGCTGGCGTTACGGATGTGTGGTCACCCCGCAGGAGCCTTTGGCCGAGGGCAACTTGGGCCGAAGACGAGAACCCTAAGCAGTAAACCCAGCACGAACCCGAAGGAGTGAACCCCGCAGGAACCTTTGGCCGAAGACGAAGACTTTGAAGAGTCAGGAACCTCTGGCCGAAGACGAAAACCCTGAGGAGTAAACACGGAAAAAGGCGTTCAAAAAAAAAAGCCAGCACGAAGCTTCTACGAAAGACGAAAAACCTTGAAGAGTGAACCCCGCAAAAACCCTTGGCCGAAGACGAAAACCCTAACGTGTTGAAGCGCGCAGGAACCGTTGGCCGATGACGAGAACCCTGAGGAGTAAACCGAGCACGAAGCTTCTGAGAAAGACGAAAACCTTAAAGAGTAAAGCCCGCAGGAACTTTTGGCCCAGGAGAGAAAACCCTAAGGAGTAAACCCCGCAAGAAGCTCCGGCCGAAACCCAAGACCTTGTGGAGTGAACAGACGAAAACCCTAAGGAGTAAAGCCGCCAGGAACCTTTGGCCGAAGACGAAAACCCTGAGATGTAAACCCCGCAGCAACCTCTGGCCGAGGACGAAAATGCTATGGCGTAAACCGGGCACCAAGCTTCTACGAAAGACGAAAACCCAAATACAGTAGACCCCCCAGGCAGGAACGTTTGACCGAAGACGAGAACCGACGGAAAACCGCAACGAGTAAGGCCCGGACGAACTTGTGACCGAAGACGGGAGCCCTAAGGAGTTGAAGCCCGCAGGAACCTCTGGCCGAAGACGGAAGCCCTAACGAGTAAACTACTAATTATCACGAGCCCCATTTGGGGAGGTATGCGCGCTGTGCGGGTGTCCTGTTGGAGGTTTTAAACAGCCTAGTGCCGCTGCAGGCCCTTCAAAAACGGGTGAAAATGGCTTGCAGCCCCCAAGCTGATCCAAGCTGTCACACCAAAAGAACTATAACACCCAGGCTTCAAGAAGGGGATTGTCCACTCGGTGGGGACGAGGGGTGTTGTTTTTTTTTTTTTTTTTTGTGTGTGTTGCGGGGTTTGGGGTTTAGGGCTTAGGGTTTAAACCCTAAACCCTAAACCCTAGGGTTCAGGCCTTCGGGTTTAGGGTTTAGGGGTTTAGGGCTTCAAGATGAATTCTCGGTTTTCAAGCTGTCCTGGTGCACATAACATGGGGAGGGGCCTTCATGATTCGAATAAAGGCTACGGGTATGTCGTACTATAATCACATAAGTAGTTGTCAAAATTATGGTCCCGTTCTGGGTACCCTAAATATTAGGTGCCGTATTATGATAAGGACCAACAAGGGACCCTAATTCTGACAACCACCCACATAGCGACCCCAAAGGCTCCATGTACCTTTGTAGTAAATACTTATGCCTTAAAGGAGTCTCTATATAGGTACTTTATGGCTTAAGTATCTACTATATGGGTACATGGAGCCTTAGGGGATTATGTGGCCATAAGCGAAAACTACTGGTATGACTGCCTGCAGGGCCAGTCTGCATAGTGGAGCTCGTGATTTTGAGTTGGGCTGGGGGTTAGGGTTTAGGGTTTAGGGTTTAGGGTTTAGGGTGGCTTCTGGCGGCTCTTGCCCTTCCGAACATGCTGAAGCCCAATGATGAAATCAGACGAGGAACGGAGCCGTAAGGCTAAACCTGAACAGCCTACCTACTACCGTACTAAAAGCACCTTGGGTTTGTAGAATAACCCCGTATAAAGATCATTGTCCCTGAACGTCGTTATCGTTACTTTTTCTTCTTATCGTTTTTCCATGAAAATTGTGTTGTCGTTTTGTTATCGTTTTATTTTCTTCTTATCGTTTTACCACAGAAAACCCTCCAAAACCCTACAAGGACATGCCAAGACTACACCTAAAGGCGCGGGGTTAAAATACAGCCCCACTTGGACAAGACGAGGCAGACAGTGGCAGCAGTTTGTTCAGCACACCAGACAAGTACTAAGTACGACAAAGGATTCAACGATGAGACGGGCTGGACTTCGGAGTGTTTGGTGGAAGACGGCATCATAAGCTTACATCTCGATCCATTCTCCCCCTTGCTGCTTGACCGCAGGTAATACAGGATCCTGATTAAGAAATCCTGAGTCTTCATTAGGGTTCTTAATATGAATCCATATATGTTGGGTGTTGCAGAGCCAGTGTTTCTCAATAATGTTCCTACATCACCGCGCTGCACTGATGATTGAAAACAATTGCTCTTCTTGATCTCCCTCTGCTGCGTCCGGCAATCGGCAACATAGGCCATGGAACACAGCAACAAGTGCACTCCCAACGCTTCCCACTCTGCACCTGTGTATATGCATATATACATGCATACATACATACCTGCATAATTACATATACAGATACATATACAGATACATATACATACAAACACACATACGTTGATGCAATCTGCAAGTTCGGATTTGACTTCCCGGACTAAAGGGGGCGGATCGAGTCTAATATTAATGCAAGTCGTAGTTGAGATTTTGCAACCCAGCCACCTCTGAAGTGAAACAGCTGATGGGATAGATCCGCGATGGAGACGTCCTTTGTTGGATTCTTGGTTTCACCGCTTATGTCGCAACACACACACACACACACACACACACACACACACTTTGGGCATCAAGCATACAGCTGATCTTCACCTCTTAACAACTAAAGACAGGCCCCGAATAGACCTAGCAGGGTGAACAAAGACACACCCTAAGGGTCCATGTACCCAAATAGTAGGTACTTTGGCCCCAAAGTACCTATATAGGGACTACATTGCCCACCCACCCACCCACCCACCCACCCACCCCACCCACACACATCCACGCTCACTCACTCGCTCGCTCGCTCGCTCGCTCACTCACACACTCCCTCGCTCAATCACTCACGCACTCACTCACTCACATTCATCTTGCATGGGTACACCGGCAGGCGGTGTACTACTGCATGTGCACATGCACACAGACTGAGGGACCTACGTTCAAGAACCAAGTGCACAAATTAAGAGTGCATACATTCATACTCAAATACTTCAACAGACACAGACACACACACACACACACAGACGCCCAACAACAAACAAAGACCAGACCATTGAAGCAATATTGCGCACAAGCCAACTCACATCAAACAGCTCTGTCTGTTCCAGTTTCACTCGTCTTCCTGGTTGAGAGACCTCTGACTCAGATTAGGCCGATGTCCCTGGAGGACCTTATAATCGCTTCCCCCTTTGATTAAACACCCCCGCAAACAAAAATGGGGCGAATCCTCCCGAAATCATCCCTGCCCTTTAAACCCATTCTGAATCAGGGCGGAGGGTTTCGAGGCTTCAAATACAAGTAAGAGCAAAAGCAAGAACAGGAGTTACCCCTAGGCCCGTCCCAAAAAGGAACTACTATGGGGCCGATGGGTATAGCAAGAGCAGGAACAAGAGCAACAGCGGGAGCATCAGCAAGAGCAAAGCGAAAGCAAGAGCGGGAGTAAGAGCAAGAGACGCAGCAACAGCAGGAGCAAAAGCCAGCGCGGGAGAGGCAGTCGAGATAAAAGAATACCCGTTAATAATAAAACATATTTCGATTTAATATTGATTAGGGGAACGGATTAAATCTAAAACCTAAACCGCTAAACCCTAAATCCCTACAGCGAGACAGCAAGCCTGATTTGCAAATCTCATCAGGCTCTTGTGCGTGGGGGAGGGGTGGCTTGAAGCCAGCAGTTTCTGCAATCATCTGACGTTTTAGGGTATAGGGTTTAGGAATCCGCCTGAAAGCCTAGCTCAAACGGTTTTTTAAGGTTTAGGGTTTCGGAATCTGCCTGAAATCCTTAACTCAAACGGTTTAGGGTTTAGGAATCTGCCTGAAACGCTTAACTTAAACGGCTCAGGGTTTAGGGTTGTCTTGAAACGCGGGCCACGTCTCTGCTATGACCTTCATGCCCGATCCTGCTGGGACAGGCCTGGCAAAGTGGAGCCAAGCATACGGAACGCCCGCTTCCAGATTCATGCGTGCTTGACAACCCTGAGGGTCCATGTACCCAAATAGTATATACTTTGGTCTCAATGTAGTCCCTATATAGGTACTTTGGGGCCAAAGTATATACTATTTGGGTACATGGACCCTTAGGGCAAGTAGGGCTACCAGCAGAAGGCATCCTGGTACTTGGAGGCTCATGGGACTTAAGTAAGTATGGTTAGAAGTGCCGTAATTTGGGGTTATACGTAGTTAGAAGTATAGTTATCCTAATAATAACCTTAGTTACTAAGTCCCCTGATCCTTTAAGTAGTATTAGTACTGAGTCGGAACATGGTTTGATAGAAGTTGATATAAAGGATTAAGAGAAGAGTTGATGGACCCCACACACTTCTTGGAAGGCTTAGAGGCCGAAAACTAAACACTACACGCTAACATCCTAAACTTCCTACACACCGAAATCTCGTAAACATGTCCTCAGGAGCCACATCTTAAGGTCTCTGAAGGGTTGTTCTTGGAGACACTTTCAATGCCAAATTGCAGTTCATTCTAACTAGACTTTCCAAACCAAAAGCCAAACACAAGTCAAGCTGGCACTTGAACTCTCGCTGGGGATAGTCGGGGTCACTAGCCTATC